GCAAGTCTCCTACAAACTCCCGCGTCTTGACTAAATACTGAGGCTGTTTAAATGCCTGCCCAAGTTGCGGGCGAGCTGAACCCCTTCCAGAAGCGGTCACGTGGTAGCGAGGCTTTGGATGTCATCTATTTTTGCTCCTCCCCCAAATGAAGCAAGCTTTGATACGCACCTTCTGGAAACGCCAGTACTCTACACACGCCTCGAAGCCTCGACTCATCTCATAACATCACTAGGTATAACTTTCCTACAGTAAACACCATTAGTATAACTCAATCTGACAAACAAATATTTGAAAGAATAACTTAAATATAAGATATGAAATATGTAAATTTGGAAAATAATTTGTAAAAAAAAAAATGAATTAAAATTTCTTTTGAATATAAAATCTGTAAAAAAAAAACTGTTGAACCAAAAAGTAAATAAAATATAAAGAGTAAACTAGAGAAGTAGAGGATTGAAAACAGCAAAGTTTCTCTCAAACCCTTTTTGATGGCATTTGTTCTTTATTTTATGATTAACAAAGTGTGTGCCTTTACTGCACCAACAATTACTCCATACAACAGCAAAAAAAAGCTAAAATATACTCAAAGCTCAATAAACGTCTAATAAAAAATAAAATAAAAAGAAATCTAATCTGATGAGAGAGGTTTAATAGAGTAAGTAACCAACAAACCTATAAGATAATGATCGTTTTAAACGAGGAGAAAAATATGGATTTATTATCTGTTAAAGGGATTTTATGATTGATTCTTAAATGTTTCCAGAATGATAAGTGAATATTTGACCTTGATTTCCAGCCTATAAGATTTGTGTTTTTTAGCAAGTAAAGCTATATTTGTTTTTAATTAAAACATACTGGTGATAAATCTCCTAAATGGTAAAGAGGGGGCTGTGATGCTGCAGCCCAAATAAGTGGAGAGATTGTAAAATTTTTCTCCAACTGTAGTTAACAGAAGTATAGAACCAGAGAGCATAGATGCATGTAGCAGGTTAACCTGGGTACAGTGAGAATAGGGCGGATGTGAAGTCGATTTTAGATAGCCAATGTTCCCTATGATGATATCTGTGGATTACTTTGAACTGAATTACCTAAGGACTGGAATTTTTGGTCATTAGAAAAAAGTTACAAATTTGTTGAAATTGATCCAAAGTCAATAAATTGATAGATCTGATTGCTATTCTATTGTCGGGATTGCTATTGATCGATATAGATTTTCTTTTACATCTAGAGGGGATAATTGGCTCTTAATAAACGAAGCAGAATTTCATTTGAAAAAGATCCAGATGATGTTTGTCCACATTATATGTTTTAACAATTATAATGTTGTTTATGTCACAACTCAGAACAGGGGACCAGGTGTTCAAGGCTGACAGATAATTTAAAAGTGTTTATCAAAAACTGGTGAACTGTGGATCTGCAGTAGTAGTGGCTAGGGTGTCCATTGCAGGAACCTCTGCAGGAAAGAAACACAGGTTAGTGTGGCGGAGGAAGATTATAAACATGAGTCACTAACCTGGTTTACCAGTTCAGTCCGAGCCCAGAGAATGAGCTAGGATCCAGCCTGTGGGCTTCCAGCAAGTGTCCCAGATGCTGTAGCCTGGGTGGACATGCAGGAGTACAGATCCGGGCAGATGAAGGAGGGCAGGAAAATCCAGAAGGCAAAGCCAAAGACGGGGTCGAGGTTGTGCTCAGGATTCAGAAGCAAGAGATAAGAAGTCTGAAAAGGTTCCAAAGTGAAAATTGAGGTGGTTAACAGGAAACAGCTCCAAGTTCATTAATCAGGTAGAATCCTGCAGGAGTCAGAAAAACAGGTCAGGCAAACAGATCAGATGGAACCGGCAGGCTCATTGGTTGAGAGGCAGAAAAGGTCAGGATCAGGTAATCAGAAACACTAAGGTAACGATGAACCGCCCTCACCACTAGCTCGAGAATAATCTCAGCTGATGACTGGAAGCAGGCAGGTTAAAACAGATCAGACAGGAGCAGACGGTCTCAGTGGTTGAAAGGCATCTGGCCTGATGACTGATTAGAGAGCTGGTTAAATAGAAGCAGGAGCAGGTGGATCAGATGAACGGTAACGAGAAAATGGGCAGAGCTAGGCAGGTGAATGAAGTAAATAAGCCAGTCATCAGCGCCAAGATTATGACATGTTTAAATATTATCATGCGTCGAAGTACAGTGAAAAAAACTTGGATATATAGAGTTAAACTTCAATATATTACTTTAAATTGAAATATATTGAAGAAAACATCAGAATATATGTAACAAAAGTTAGACAGGCCTAAAACTATTTTGGATCCTGTAATTTCAAATCACACATGCATGATTGAGAACTCCACGTCTGGTGGGGTGATGTACACATTTTGGCCGGTAAAAAGCTGTCATAATTTAATCAAAAACTATTTAAACTTAATTTATTTGTTTTTAGTTACATTTAATATTTTTTTTCTTTAAATTATCTCATTATTGTAGAAAAAAGAGCACTTAGAAATCATATCATGCAGCAGCCCTTTTTTCCCCCTGCCACTTGTTACCCAGGAAACTGGTTTTATTATTTTTTTTTTTTTTTATTTATGCCAAAGGAAAAAATTAATAATTGTTAATGATCTTTATCAGAAGCTCACTTTAAAAAGTCTTGGCAAGAGTTTTAATTGTGTCTTCTAGTCTCTTACATGTATTCTTCATCAGAGGTGGGTAGCAACAAGTTACATCTATTCAGTAACAGTGTCTTTTAGAAGAAAATGTACTCTTACTGTAGGAGAATTGTTAATTACTTTACTTTTTACTTTTGCTTAGATAATATTGCTGTGAGACTATTGCTACTCTTACATGCTGTTACCATGAGGAACTTGATCAAATGGGAAATCGGGTCAAAAAAACAGTAAACAGCCGATATTGTGGCTGGAAGTTATTTATCCTCTCATGACATCATCATCATATGCATTACTGTATTGAAGAATGGTTTAATGATTTTATGTTGAAAAGTTTGATTTACAAAGTTGACATATTTTGTTTTGTGCAAAATAAAGTCTGTAATTAAGTCATTCAAACTTCCATCTTGTAAGAGTTACAAAGTAAAGGGATGTGTCTGAAGAAAGCATCAATGCATATGGCAGGATGTATTATCACACAAATGTTTGGTTCATCTGAACGCCACCTTCATGACCAACCACACCTTGATCTAAAGGGCCTTCTAGGATCCAATCAATAAGCTCCCTGGAAAGGTATGCTTTCTTCTTTCTTTTTTTCTAAGATGCAACAACTTCATCAAACTAGGCTGAATTAACTTAATAAATAATGTAAACAGAGCGAGCAGTACCCTGAACAAAACTTGTAGTCATACCAACTTTTATTTTCTAACCCAGTGGTTTCCAAGATTCTTTTCTTAAGTAAAGCTAACCTATCAGATTTAGATTTTAGAGTTATTCTGGATTTTTTGTTTTAGCAAGAAATGACCTATAAAACTATCTTGGATTTAACATCTTTTCACTTTCCTGTCCAGGAGTGATGCTGAGAAACTAGTCCATGCATTTGTTACTTCAAGGCTGGACTATTGTAATTCTTTACTATCAGGAAGTCCACAAACTGTAGTTAAAAGCCTTCAGCTGATCCAAAAAGCTGCAGCCAGAGTTCTGATGAAAATTAAAAAGAGAGATCATATCTCTCCTATCCTGGCTTCTCTTCATTGGCTTCCTGTTAAATCCAGAGTAGAATTTAATATCCTCCTTCTCTCATATAAAGCCTTACATGGCCAAGCTCCATCTGATATCAGAGATCTGATTGTTCCTTATGTTCCTAACAGAGCACTTCAGTCTAAATCTGCAGGTTTACTAGTGGATAGAATTTCTAAAAGTAGAATGGGAGGCAGATCTTTTAGTTATCAGGCTCCTCTCCTATGGAACCAACTACCAGTTTTAGTCCGTGAGGCAGACACCCTGTCTACTATTAAGAGTAAGCTTAAAACTTTCCTTTATAATAAAGAAAATATAGTTAAAGTGGTTCAGGTTATCCTGAGCTATCTCTATAGTTATGCTGCTATAGGCTTAGACTTCTGGAGGACATAGGGACCCCTTTTTCATCATTCTGCATCCTTTCTCTATTCTCCCATTCTGTAGAATCTGTTAGTTCAATCTCTAAAGTTCTGCTCTCTCTGCTTTTCCTCATAGTAGCTTCGCCTCGTCTGTTCCTGTTTGGCTGTCACGCCATCCTGGAGAGAAATGTCAGCTGTGCTAAAGCCATCATCAACTATGTTTATAGATGTTGGAGATCGGCCTGTTTTTCAGTGTAGTCCTGTTTCTCTGACTGTGACTGGCTGGATATGCTCTCTTCATCCTCTGTCATGGGAGCTGGCTGGGAGCTCATCTGCGTGGCTGCGTGTTTCCTGGACGGGGTCGCCTTTTACATTTACTTTCTGTATCTCTGCTTCTGTCTCCTTGAACCCCAGTCAGCCTCAGCAGATGGCCGCTCACACTGAGCCTGGTTCTGCTGGAGGTTTCTTCCTGTTAAAAGGAAATTTTTCCTCTCCACTGTCGCTACAAACATGCTTAGTGTGAGGGATTGCCTTCAAGTCAATGAGTTAATGCAATCAACTGGTTTTCCTTAGATAGAAAACTTTGAATCCATCTGACTGTATGATCTGGTGAACTGTAAAGTGCCTTGAGATGAAATGAGTGAGTTTCTGGTGAACAGCTGTTTCACCAGAGTCTGCAATAATGGCTTTTCCTCATCCTCCTGTTTTTATTAGTCACAAACATCAAAAATGGTGAATCATTCCACTTAAGCTTTAACTTTGTGCTGTTCTATCACCTTAATCAAAACAGAATAAATGAAATTGCCTGGCTATATGGATGAGGTTTCCCTGCCATGCCTTAAAGCGCACAGCAATCATGCCTCTATATTTTTTTCCCTGCTCTCTACAAACTGCCGGAGACCCTCTCAGCAGACTACCTCTAGGACCCAGTGTGTCTCCTTTGTAGTTTTTTGAGGCGATGAGGGGAGACCGAGAGATTGCTTCTTGCCTATCACGATTCTCATCGCGGCTCAGCGAGCTGAAAGGAGGAGGATGAGCGCAATTTAAAGCCAGGACCTGCAGCACCTCATATCCTTCATTCATCTCCTTTAATTGATCTCTAATGCTCTCCCATACTTATACTTTTTTTTTTCCTCAACAGAAACCCTTTTAAATATTTTGATGCATTTTTTATATTTTTTTTGTGGTTGAATCTTGGGGGAGTATGAGAGGCAGATATGATGTGAGGAATGTGGGACCATGAATTATCAATGCGCGCAGCTTTGTTCGTGTGACAGGCTCGCATCAGGACAGTCTGCCAAACAGCTGAATAACTGTTAACTTTCCTGCACATCTTCGACGTCTCCAGCTGCAGCAGCAGCTAGCCGACTTCTCGCGCATGAGGTGAGCCTAAATGCAATTTGCATCTGGATGCATTATTTATTTTTTCCCCAATATTTCCATTTTATCACCGATGGAAACGTGGGAGAGACGCTCCATCCATCCACCCATCGCCCATGCTTTGTGTTTTCCTCCTCCTATAGTCTGCATGTGATGGTTTTTATCGACCTAATTAGGGACGCGGTGTGATCTTGTATTGGTGGGTGACTGCGCGCGTGGGACGTGCCAGTGAATACTAATTACATCCAGTCTCTGCCCCCCCTTTCCTGTTTGTTTATTTATTTATTTATTTATTTGAGGGATTCCCCCAGAAATGTGCCACCCAGCCTCCTGCTGTCTCATTAACCAGCTCTGTGTCCATCCTTCCAGAGGCTGTAGGTGTGGAAGCAGGATGTGGAGCAGGGAGAGCGCATCTTCACTCCTCATCTGCCTGCTGGTGCCCACAGCTCTCTGGGAAAGCAGGTGAGCGCTCTTTGGTTCAGGAGACGCCTCTGCAACCTTGGAGCAAACGCGCATATCGTCTGTGGGGGGGCTCTCTGTCAGGGGCGGATCTAGGAAAATATTTATGGGGTGGCAAGAGGGGGGCAGGAATTTTTTAGGGGTGGCAACATATGGCATTTGTTTACACTGAATTTAATCACAGTTATCACAGTTTGGTGAGAATAGTATGTACAGTACTAGTGTTTCATGTGAAACAGTTCATATTATTAATACATCGTACAATGTGATCTCACTTAATAGGAGATAGAAGAATGATAACACTACTTCTAGAGGGGCATTATGACAGGAAAGGTATTAAGGTAAGACACAGGTGCTGAGTCGCAGATGTGTGAGATTGACTGTCAGAGAGGCAGCTTTGCAGCATTTGCACAAGAAGAAACGATAGAAAGAAAAAGTTTCCCATCAGAGATCTATGGACTGAGCTGGAACAAAGTGAGCAGAACTACACAGTAGAAATAAATGGGTCAAGGCACCCGAACAAGGTACTGGACATCTATGTAATGTTTACTCTGAACACACATTCACCCCATTTGTTCCTCAGTAACTTGACATACAGCAGTTAAGGCAACATGAAAGGGACATTTCATGCATGTAGATCTGCTGTAGATAGAGCTGTATATGGAGGACCAACTCTGCCATATTTAAAAATAAATACAGAAATAAATAAATGCTCAATAAATAAATAAGCATACAATTAATTGCCACCAAAAATACAATCAACAAATAAATGTAATTAGAAATTATATTATAATGGCAGGCAGAAATGTTAAAAGGGCAGGCAGAAAGAAATAGCGGCGAAGAAATAACTAGGGTAAAAAAATACAAAGGAAGAATAAAACAGACAAAAATATGATAACATGCACATAAATAAATACTTAAAAATATAAGTAATGAAAAAATGAAGTTGAAGATAATAAATGACAAAAAAATAAATAAGGTAAATATTAAAAAGGCAAAGAAATAAAGAAGCCAATTAAAAGAGTTATATACCTGTATGACTAGCTGTATAATTTAATTTCTACTTACATTTATTTGTTGTTTGTATTTTTGGTGGCAATCAATTGTATGCTTATTTATTTATTAAGCTTTTATTTATTTCTGTATTTATTTTTAAATATGGCAGAGTTGGTCCTCCATACTGCTGTATCAACAAATCAACAAAAAGGCGGGTTCTGTATGTTACATCAAAATCTCCACAAATCTGAAAAGAAGCAACATAAAAAATACATTTTGCTTGTGAGTAGGTTCATACGCGTCATTTCTGGATAGTTTCATATTATATATTAAAAAAAAGAAACAACAACACTGCTTCATATTAAGCAGGATTCACACCAGTATCACATTTTTAACTTTTAACACTTTTGGTTTTATTAAAGGAAATATCAGATTTTCTCAGGTGCCAAAACAAAATTTAGCAGCTCTGTAAAGGCTCACCAGAGAGCAGAACATAAAGTTAACATGACTATAACAGCTGAATGCAGCGATTTCCATGTTGCTCAGCAAAACGCTTCACAACTTTATTTAGATCCAATCCCTTTGTGCGTTTTGATTTGAGTACAACCAAACTTGATCGTCTCTTTTCTGTCATAGTTGACCGCAAATATGTCTTTATGAGGCTGAGACGTCAGGCCTAACTAACATCATAGATAGAGAAATAACGTTCTGCAACCTGATTTTTATCATCTGTAAATCAGCATTGCAGCTATGCTAGCAACATTGTGCTTTCATTATGATTTCATTTCTCGATAGATAGTTAATCAGTTTCTACCTGTTTCATCCCGTTTCTCCTCTCCCCATCACCCCTGGCTCCCTCGCTTTGCCTCATTCGGTTTTCAAAACAATCAGTCTCAGTCGCTCTCGCGTCATCTCGTGCTGCATTCACTGCAGTCCGACATTAGAAATTAGCGGTCGTAATTCTCAAATGATCCATAATTTATAAGCCTCGCCACCCCTACCGCCAACTGGGGTGGCAGCTGGGGTGGCAAGGCTGTCATTTAGGGTGGCAGTTGCCACCCTATGCCACCCCAGTAGATCCGCCTATGCTCTCTGTTTATCTGTCCAGGTGGACTCTTATCATCGGACACATGTGGACCCCCCTCCTGTCTGTCGATAATGATAACAGCTTCAGCTGGGCCATAAAAACAGAAGTGATGGGCAGGGGAGGAATGAAATCAAACGCTGCTGGGTTTTCTTACTGCTGGCCTGAGCAGATTTTGGTTTAACGGGTCCTAATTGGGTTGTTTAGGTTTTAAAAATTCCCGTTGATCCAGTTGTAGAAGGATATCAACATAATCCCAGATCAGATCTCTGCTTTAAAGACATTATTCAGTCAGATTATGTTTGTTTTTGTTTTTTAAATGAGATAATGAAACACACAGATAAGTTATAATGTATAGATCTGAACAGGAAATGAAGGTTTTTAAAGTCGTAGGGAAATCATATTTAAATGTAAAATCATTCTGGCTTAAACATGTATATAAATGTACTCTTTATCAGACCATATTGTCCCAAAAGTTAAAACATTTCTATTTAAAAAATCCTGTCTTAAAATCTTTGTTTTTTTTCCCATTATCTTCTGCCGGCCAGTTAGTTATAAGTCAGCCTGAACACCTAAATTCAGCCAATCATATATCAACAGTCATCTGTCAATCAAATTTTTTCAGTCATAGCATCTTGATTCCTATGTCGCAGCTAATATACGCAACGGTTGAACTCAGAATAATTTCCTTTCCCATTGAGTTCCGTCCCAGTGTTCACGGGGATGGACGTCTGTGTCTTCAGCAGGCGTAGAGCTAACAGAACTTGCAGCGTTGCGAGGCAAGGGCTCAAACATGTACGACTGGAAGCCTTCTACACCAAACCAAGCTTCTGCCGCCCTGGCGTCCTCTTCCACAACATCTTCATCCCCACTTTCCTCCTCAAAATAAAAAATGTATGACGGAGGAGACTGATCCACGACCTCTGACACTAAACTCTCCTCCTCTTGCATGTTTCCTCTGTCCATAGCGTTCCTTGACAGTGTCGTTTCTAAGTCACCAATTTAGTGCTACTTGGTCCCAATGGATTTTCCCATTGGGAACCTACTAGCATTAAGTTGCTAACTGGTTAGCAAGATGCTTCAGAGAAACTGGCCACAACCAAACTTGCTTACGAATTTTCTGCCACAACAATTCCCCCCTTGATAATCGACCAATCACATTCACTTTGTTCACAAGTGTAAAGTCAGGCACCACTCGGGAGATTTCAGAAATGCAACTGTCGGAACAGCTGCTTCCCTACAACTTTAAAAGCTTGCTGAAGAAAAACTAAACAACAAAAGCCAGAAATAGACTGATACATTGGCCACATGTAGGCCGATATTTTCATAGATTTATTAGTGCATTCAGCAGCTTTACAATAGGCACTCCCAGAGGCGGATTTATCATAAGGCAGAACTAGGCAGTTGCCTAGGGCCCCAAGTTCCTGGGGGCCCCATTAAACTCCTTTTCCATGTATGGTTGATACAGCTTTTACTTATTTGTGCACATTAATTATCTTTTTGATAAAAAATCTTTTTGTAAAAATGCCATCAGAAATCGATCAGATTGGATCAGTCCAAATACTGCCCATGTGCAGAAAGGTCCAAACAAATAGCAGCAAATCATTTGAAAACAAACAATGCGAAGAGCAGTGATCTCAACTTAGTGTTTTGTGGCCATATTTAGCTACATTTCAGACCCCTCTAGTGCTTTTATCACAAAAAAGTGCTTAGCGCCAAATCTAGTGACTTTTTTCTGTTACTGGAGACGTTGGCGACAACATATAAAAGCAGCGAACTCTGCTCTCCTGAGTGAGTAGATTGGTAACCCCGCCTCCTGCTCTCTTTTCTCTTGTCTGCTGTCATGATTCATGCAGCTATTATTTCATCCAAATGAAAAATGGAGAACAGATAAGCAGATCATGGCTTGTCTACAAAGAAAAAAAGGACTGGGTTATTTACTTTTGCCTTCGCCTTTTTGGAAACACAGGAAGGAGCAATCAGCTAAGTTAGAATGGACTTAGTGATTGGAAATTCTTTGATTCCTTTTGAGACAGCATGAAAAGTCAGCTGAGCACATTGCCAATATGAAAAGAAAAAGGGACAAAAGAAAACAGAGGAAAACAGCAAGAAAAGGGATAAGAACAGAGGGGCAAAACGGAGAACAAATTATTTATGTCTATTCTATAAAAATGTCTGTATCTGTATATTGGGTCTGTGTTATGTGTTGCCTTCTCAATTCAGAGAGCGCCATGCCTGTATTTGCCTAGGGCCCCAAATTTTCTAAATCCACCCCTGGCCACTCCCTTTCATTTTGCTACCCTTTTGTTCCATCTTCAAATAGATGTTTCTTTTTTGTATTTTTATTTATTTATTTTTTAATTTAGACTTCTAATGCTTTGATTTTTATTATGTAAATGGAGGACAAAAAAGCTATTTGGGCTCCAGAAACATCGGCAGCACATCTCTCTCTCTCTCTCTCCAGCTTTTATTGTCATTACACTGTCACAAGTACAGAGCAACAAAATTAACTTTCTGCATTTAACCCATCCGCTTGGGAGGCAATGGGCTGCCATTGTGCGGTGCCCGGGGAGCAGTGTGGGGTCAAGATCAGGGACCCAGAGTGGGAGTCTGTGGGAGTGGAGCTTGAACTCAGAATCTCAGGATTCCAAGCACAATGCCCTAATCACATATCGAGGATCTGTTTGACTGATGTCAAATTGATCAGTATAACCTAAAAAAAACTGCATAGGTCAAACTCTAATAAAAAGACACCTCTCCTTTCCTTGTATTTGCATTGTTCATATCTAAAGAGAAAGGGTCAACTATTGAACAAGGTAAAATAGAAATTAATTATTGGAAGTTTTTGTAGGATAAACAAAAGAAAATATGAATTTAAAAGAAATACAGTAAAGGGAGAGTGGATGGAAATATCTATTGTCTGATGTGTGGCTTTCGATGTTTTTGAGGACAAAGAGAGCAACACTTCTCAAAAGCGACATATAAATTCATATTGATTAAAAAAAAGTATTTTTGCATTTAGATAAAAATTTTTCCTTGTTGTTTTCTGTACTTGTATAGTTTGAGGTGTCAGCTTTCTCAGTATAATTCTTAGTTGCTGTAATTAAGTTTTTTTTTTCTGTATCTTTACCTGAGTATTTCTTTTACAGTTTTAATTTTATCTTTTATGCACTGCATTTGAAAACAGATATCTTTACTCTTTATCCAAACTGGACTGTCACTTCTATAAATACTGATAAAGATTTCACCTAAGCTGCAACAAAACAGGGAAAATAAAGAAGATAATTGGTCCAGATGTAGACCAGTTACGCTACGTTCACACTGCAGGAAAATGGAACCAAAATCTCATGTTTATTGTTTACCATATGTGACTGATATTTGACTTTTTCATGGGGCTCAGATCAGCTCAGTTAAAAAAAAAAAAAATTATAATTGTTCCACCTTCACGTTTTACTGAATCGGATCCATATTCGATATAAAGTTTTTTATTATTTCTTATTTATTTTGAAAAAAAAATGTTATTATTTTTCTAACAAAATTTATATTCTCAAATTTGATATATTTTTTTTATTTTTATTTTTCAAATTGTGCATTACAGATAACATTCTCTTCATTTGAAGCCCAAGAAAAATGTTATTAACATTATCGGTGTGGTAAAATATTGGTGATATATCATGATTTTCAGCCGTTCCATATATCGATCTTTCAGTTCCTAATATTAATTTTAAAAAATAAGACATTTTTACCCAAAATAATGAGGGAAAATGGGCTGTGGACCCCTTTTTGCTGTGTGATGCAGTGGACAACATGGATACCAAAGTAACAAACAATCAATATCTTCTGAAGAACAGACAGCACTTGCTTTTTTAATCTATATATTTAATTTTGATAGCTGGGAAACATATCACTATATATAGTGATATTGCAATATCGTCATAATATCGTATTGTGTCCCAAGTATCGTGACACGTATCGTATCGCAACAACCATGCCGATACTCACCCCTAACTTACAGCCATGCAGACCAATGGAAGTGTTTGTCCTCACTCCCTTGAAGTGAAGAGAATGTGATCTTTAATGCAAATGCAATGTGAAAACAATGTAACTCGTAAAAATCTATCTGAAAAAGAGAACTAAAAAAATTAACTCAAAAATATTAAATTTGTAACACATAAAAATAAATAAATCTGAGAAAACAGCAAAGTTTTATTATAATTTTTAATAGTTTATTTCTGGATTGAATTATAATTTTTCAAATGTCCCTTTGCAAAATATTTTCTTTGCTACAAAAGTTGCTCCATACACACACAAACATCAAAATCCACAACTAAATCTTTTTTTTATAATAAAAAACATAAATATTTCCAGCCTGAATAATCTCCACCCTGTGACTGATCACACAGTGAAACCAGCTTATTAAAGTTGTATGGTCCAAATGGATAGAAGACCCGACGTAAGCACTTATCAATATTTCATACTTCCAGTTACCAATAACCTGAGGCCGTTACAGCAGAGGCGGAGCTATGTTGTTGATCAAGCTGAGATTGAATTTAGGGACTTTCTGAAGTCATTTACCATGAATTTCTGTCCTGATTACATTTGCATAATCGGTTGTGTTTTGGCTCAGAGATCAGATGGCTTTTTAATGCAGTGCCTTGAACTGGGTCAGCCATGATGGCGAACAATGTCTATTAGTGTGTCTGTGTGGGCATGTTTGGAGCCACTACCACATGACAAGGAGAGCAAAACTAGAAGCGAACATTAAAAGTTTGAAGTATAATCAGTTGCTGATGTGCATGTATGTCTCAACCTCTCCTGTTATGTGTCTGCTGACTAGATCAGTGAAAGCCGACCAAGGACCTTATGACCCAAAGGAAAACATCACCCTGTTTACACGCATCCTGGACAGACTGCTTGATGGATACGACAACCGTCTCCGGCCCGGTCTGGGAGGTGAGGAAACGACGTATAGCTGCTGTATGGTTTTGTACAATGAGTGATTGCGGTCATGCAATCGCACGTGTCCCGCTCTTAAGAGAGCTCATTTGCAGTGAGAACACTTCATTTAACATCAGCCTTCATAGAACCGATAACCTTTGGCAGTAGGCCCCTCAAGAATAGATAGATAAACACACTCTGAGTCTGAAGCTTTCAGATTATATAATCCCAAAACCACTTCCTGGAAAATTGGCCTCATTCAACCCAACTAATGACTCAATATTACATTTATATTTGTAGTATCAGAATCTATAAGGAAAAGGTATGATTTTAAGTTTGTCAATTTATTTCTGTTCCATAATTTGAAATATGCAATTAATGTATGAATTTATATATATATAAAGAAAAAGAACACCTAAATATTGACACTGGAACTAAAGAGCCATATACGGCACATATTCTTATAGGGTTTAAACTTTTCCACATTTGGTGAAGCTAGAAGCCGAAACTTTCCTTAATTTCAACGAGATGTTATATAGAACCAGTATATGTTGTGGAAATACAACAGCCGGCATCATCTAGTGAAATATGGTAGTGGTAGCATCCTACTGCGGTGATGCTTTTGTTCAGTAGAGAGTAACTGGTCCGAGCTGATGGGAAGATGGACAGCGCTGAATGTAGGACAAACCTGGAAAGGAACGGAAAGGAAGCCATATCAAGGAAGATATGGTAGAGGCAGTGCTGTTTGTGACAACATTCTTTCTTTTAATTCAAGTTATTCTCTCTTGTAGAAAAAATAAGTTATTTCTAGTCAACTAAATCCTGTCAGAACTTAGAACTAGATTAAGGTGTAATAAGGAAATCCCCTAAATTTTTAAGCTCTCTCCTGTCTTTCGGAAGCCTTCCCTCTTTGAATCAGGTGAAATATTTATTACTCAGTGGAGCAGAGTCAAGGTCCTTTAAATCTATACGAACTATAAAACATAATAGATAAATGTTTGCACAGCAAATAAAAACAGGACAATTTAAGAGGTAGAGGAAATTAAGTCAGATCCAAGTTATTCAAAAAGCTAACGAGGCTCCGTTGCTCCAAAACAGAGAAGGCAATATAAGGGAACATATAACAGAAATACCAAACATCCAGCAAAAGAGGAACATTTTGTAACATTCATCACAAAAGCAAAGTCAAAGCCCAGACCCAAATCCATTTAGAAATCTGCTTGAGTACTAACGACTTGGTTCAACTTGGTGTGAGGGATTGCCTTCCAATCAGAATGAATGCAATCAGTTGACATCCCTTAGATAGAAACTTTGAACCAATCTGACTGCATGATGTGGTTGAATTGTCTATATAAAGACATGATGTGTGTTGTGAATTGACGCTATATAAATAAACTGATTTGAATTAAAATGAACAAAATACCGACTGGGGCTGAATACAAATGCACACCACACTTTTTAGATCTTTATTAATGATATATGTAAAACGCCTGATAGTTGTCCTACTTTACAATGACACACTACTTTGTTTTGATTGTAGCATCAAATGATAATGAAATCCCCTGAAGCCTGTGGTTATAATATGACAAAATGTTTTAAGACATTCGGAGAACACCCTGTTGTAGTTTAGAGGTTTGGAAGACTGGTACTTTGCATATAAAATCATTTTAAATTTTGCTTTGAATTCAAATTCAATCATTTTAAGGACAAAATTTAATTAATAGAGCTCATTCTGCTCCTTTTTATTATACCCCTTTAATTTTGTTGTGATAGTTTACACAAGAATTTGATGTGTGTGTCTGCGTATTCACATGGGTTTGGGGTTAGCAACATTAGCGCTTACATAGGGTTAATTTATCATAATTTACTGGACTATTTCACAATAAGTAAAAAGTTGCACAAGCAGCAAAAGAAACCAAATCTCCCCTTTTGGTTGAATAGAGATGAGAGTGGTGATAGCAAGTAAGGTTATATACACCAACCATCCCTCCTGATCTCATAGTCCTTTATGAGCCTAAATAGAATTTCAGCACAAGGGGTGTGCTAACATGCCCAGTATTGTACTTCCGTTGTTCTTGTAAATAAAAAATAAGATCTTTATGTACTAACAAACTGAGCAAAAATACCAGCAAAATACACCAAAATAAGAAATAATTCTCCAGCAGGAGGTGGTAAGGTACAGTACTGGTGTATATGTTAAAAATAAGTCATATAAAGCAGCTAACATGAAAAAATGAAAAAGTCTGAGTCTTCAGGTGATGTCTCCTTTCAGCACAAGACAGTTAAGCTTGAGTAGTTTTTCCAAGTTTTGCAGAAGGTAGCATCTGCATTTTGCATCACCCTCAATGCCTCTCACTCCTTTCCCTGTATCTTCTCACCACATCCAACTCTTTTATACCAGGCATTTAGGCCCCGTCCACACGAAGACGAACCCTGGCCTAAACGCACAAATTTTTCACCAAACCAGCCTCTCATCCACACGAAGCCGGCGTTTCGGGGGTCTGTAAACGATCTTTTTTTTATTCAGCCTTCAGAGTGGGAAGATTTCGAAACGCCGTTTTCGCGTTTCCATCTTTACGCTCTAACCGCATTTTTTTTTTACACGCATGCGTCATAGCGTCGCCTCTAAACACGCATGCGCGACACAGTATCACAACAACAATGGCGCCGTTGCTGCTAATGCTACGCACCCTGCTGTCGGGCTCACAACAGAATCTTCTTCTTCTGGAATATCTCCAGGAAGAACAGAGCAATATCGACGACATAGTTCAGCACCTGAATTTGACTGAACCACGAAAATGGACCCGCAGGGCAACCATGTATAAATATTAGTGCGCATGCCCAACATTTCGTCGCTTATTTTTGCTTTGGCACCACAGCGCCACTTACAGGCCTGGCATACATTTTGCAGCGTTTTCATGCATTCGTGTGGACGCTCACATTTATTTTACGTCTCCGTCTTTACGGCAAACGTTTTGGAAAATATCAGCGTTTCGTGTTCATTTTGACTTCGTGTGGACGGGGCCTTAATTTTCAGACTGACCCCCTTACCCCCAAAACTGAGCTCCTCCTTCAGGATTTGGTGCCTTTTGCTTTTCTAATTCCTGGGGCAATCAGTCCATCCTAGAAGCTGCCATATGCCTCCTTTAGCTTGAGCAGTATTCAGCCTGTTTAAGTGCCAATTATCTTGCTGCTTATTATTGTACAGGAAAATCCTGTTTTTGGTTTCTACATGCTTACAGATCAAACAGTTTTTTTTATTTTTTATTATTTTTTTTTATGGAACCGTTTGGTAGTATTCTCCTTAATATATTTTCAGCTTTTATTCTGGATACATTTCTGGGAAAAAGTGCCCAAACATGTGCAGTTGTGGAGAATTTTCATGGATTAGCATTGAAAAGGTTGTTTTAATGTGTTAAATAGAAAGACACCTCCTACATTTCTGTATCCTTTTTTCCATTGAAGTTGTCTGTTTTCCATCACTGGCCACAAAAACAGTATAGCATCATCAACAATTAACTGTAGGGCTGGCAGGAAAGTGTCAATTTTCTATTTATTTCAAGGATAACTGCATCCCATTCTAAAAGAATAGGGGACTGGCATTTTGTGACCAAACGTCTTCTTTAATAATATTTAATTTTATAGAATAGATCAGTAAAGGTATATATGATTTTACTTAAAAAAGTGTATTTATTAATTATCAAAGTACTCAAGACAGGTTTACCACGGAACCCTGCCCTATTTATAACAGGATAATGTGGGGGTTAATCCAATCAAATGTTATGGTGATGTAAAAGGATTGCTTTTAAATGCTAGAAATCAAAACAGTGTTTTATGTTTTAATGAAGGGTTTGGAGAAATATATATGAAATAACCAGCTATGAAAAACTGATTTCCAGTTTAAAAAATCAGAAGAATTTCATAGAAATACGGGGCCCATAAATAAATTTTTTGCAATTTTCTAGGCAGGTAGGAACATGAATAAGGTCCATATGGAGGTGGCTGGAGGAATACTGGATATGTTAACTACCTACTGTATATGCATTCATTACTAGAAATTACTCATAATTTGATTGGTAGATTTTTTGGTCTTGTAATGTTATTTGATTATATCTTTTTTTGCTTTTATTCATGTTTTCTAGTTATTCTAATATTTTGGTAAAAGCAAATAAAAGAAAGTTACAGGAAAAAAGCATTTATACATGATCTGAAAACTATACTTAGAAACAGGCAATATTCTATTTTGTTTTATTATAAACATGCTACATATTAAAGGGTTAGTCACGGGGATTTGTGGGTTTGTTTAACTGAGATATAGAATTAGATATAGATATAGAATTGCCCTATGCTTCAATAATCTGGGCCAGCCTGAGCAGGTGTCTTTTTCGCCACCAATATTATTGTACTGTTGTTATTTTTGACATGCAAAACATGTTCACTTTTTTGGGGCATTTTTCCAATGCCTCCTTTTCAGCAACAGTGACCACATCCATGTTTTTCATGTGAGTTTACACCAGACTTTCTATCGCTTTCAGCTTCCTTGTAGATCAGCTTTGCTTGTCCTAACAAGTTTTTTTAGTAAAAAACTGTATTGACTTCAGAGGTTTGCAATCATTTCCTAATGTTATGCCCTTACAGTAGAGAGAACCCTATATTTAGCCTGAAACAGTGCTATACTTTAAAGAGGTGTATTAAAAATCTGGTGCTGGGAGGAAACCAATATAGAAAGCTGAGAAGCCTGGCAGTGAAACAAAGACAGGTCCCAGGAGGTGATGACAGGCAGGTTGGCAGAGGTTGAAGTCAGTTATGTGAGGCTGGCATCAGTAGTTTACAAGAGGAATGAAAGGCAGAGAGCCAAAAAGGCTTGACAAGATTTGAGACTGTGGCACAGTTCAGATAGAGTCCAGAATCAGAAGCTGGTGAGGTATCCAACAAGGGCAAGGAAGTACAAGGAAATCCAAGAGACAAGAACTTACTTGCAAACTGATAAGGCAGAAAGGAAATGCTTGACTTTT